CAATATCAAATCATAATTTCATTTTCTTTGTGACAAAGAAAGATATGGATCTCAAATAAGTGGTGCATTTTGTGATGAGCTACAGTTGAGCAGAATGGAATTCAGTGCTCTTGAAAGTAAAGTACTAAACCCTGTCTGAAAGCAGGTACAGGGCAGTTATACCCTGTGTAAGCTTCCCCTGTACTGCTCTGCCAACACAATTTATTTCTGCCAGGCCACACCATACAAGTCCATTCCTGGGACTGATCTTCAACAAAGATTGACAATTTTCCCAAATTATCTAGTGAAGTTATGATGTGATAAATGTCTGTCACGCATGACACATGCTATGAAATCACCCAACTAGGGACTGAGACTGGCACAGGATTTAACTGCACCAACCTTTTCTCTCTAGAGATAATACTTCAAATTCTAGATCACGAGTAAAAATGAATGTGGTGTTCTCTAATAATTATCCATCCCCATCCCCAACAACCAAATACAGCTGACGTTCCTTCTTCTGGAGAGATTTCAAATTAGAAAAGCTTATGTAGACTAGTACTATGAGCATTTTCCTGTCATTAGCATCAAATTCAACCCAAAGCTATTGAGAGGCAAACAAGTACTAGATTTCCAGAGATAAAAGATATAAATCAGCCCATCCCTTAATCTTAATATAGGAGACTAGATCAAGATCTTAACTAGATCAAGAATAATGACAGCTAGTTTTATAGAGAAAGGAAAGCTTCCAGGGTAAACTTTCTCAGCTGGTTTTCAGCAATCTGTTCAAATATTTACATTTAAAATAAACCCTTTCACTGTAATTACCAACTTTCAAAGTGCCAGAAACCTGTGAAATACAGGAGCTATTCGAAAGCATAGATAGGTTGAATACTGTTCTCTGAGGCTGCAGCCATTTTACCTAAACAAATTATGTGAAAGAGAAAACCTTATTCGTGAGGAATATCACCATATTATTAGAATGCTCTTTGGCTGACACAGTTATATATCTCCTGGATGTTTCAGTATGCAGATATCCTTCCATGATAGCAGAACAAAGTACACATCTCCACTGGTCTGGAAAGAATATGCCTGGGGATGATATGTAAGGTAGTTTGGGTTACCCAGATATTGGATATTTGTCTAATTTTCCATATTTTCCCTTCAAAGCTCTCATCTACTCTATGGCAGGTACATTCCCATTTATCAATACAAACTGAACAACATTAGTAATTGCTGTATTCTTGCTTTTTGCTATCACTCTTGAAAAGCCTTGATACTTCTAAGTTCTTCCCTTTCTTCACCTGCAGTATAACCGCATTAATCGTCTGTATCAAGCTGCGGAGATATTCCTGCTACAGATTATCGAAATGGATTCCTGGGTTGGAATTGTCACATTCAATTTTACAGCACAAATTACATGTAATCTACAACAAATAGTCAATGAGACTGTACGCCATGATCTTATCAAATGCCTGTCTACATCAGCTCGTGGAGGAACTAACATCTGCGCAGGAGTACGCAAAGGATTTGAGGTGAAGGAGAACTTGGGGGGAATGTATCCTGGAATGCTGTGATAATGAAATGGAACTAAGAGGAGAATAGTGAGTAGGAGTAAGGAGGTGATATCACCTCTGTGTACAGCAGTACTGAGATTATGACTGAAATACTGTCTCTGGTTCTGGTGTCCACATTTCAAAGACGATGTTAGGGAAACTGGAAGGGGTTCAGAAAGACAGCTACAAGAACAATTACATGTTTGGAAAATGTGTTTTATAGTGAGAGACTTAGGAAGCTCTATCAAGTTAGTTCAATAGGAGCAGGTTCACAGCCTAAGAAATTAACAAGCCCCTGCTATGTTTATATTAGCAAAAAAATTAAGATTGCTTTGATAAAATCTTACAAGAATGCTTTGCCGGAATCTCAAGGCATTGTGCAGAAGATCAAAATCATATAACTTCTCATAAAGAAATTCGAAATTTTGTTTATTTTAACATAGGTTTAAGCATGGTTTTATTCTGAAAAGACGTTATGTAAAATGGCACCTTCATGCTCCATGATTTCTCAAGTCACTTTCCAGAATGGGCATGGAGAGGCTTCCACATGCCCTGTGCACATGCTGTCATTGGCAGCAGGACCTGGAATGGGGGCCGGCAGACACACATGACTACTACTTGGAATGCTGTAAGAAGTGTGCTAGACACCTCTCCCCTTAACCATCCTGCCCTGTACAGGCAATGTAATTCAGACACCTTCAGTTCAGCCACTTGCCACATGACACAGCCTCCTACACCAGCACAATTCACACTTGTAAG